GACACAACATCTTTGTTGGTATGTGGTGCTGAGGATCGAACCCGGGCCGCACGCATGCCAGGCGAGCGAGCTACCGCTTGAGCCACATCCCCAGCCCCAAGTCTGAATTCTTAAATCTCCATTGTGATTTGTTTGTCATTGGTTTGGTTTGGTGGTACTGGAGATCCACCTCAGACCCTTCACCTGCTGGGCAAGCAATCTGTTGCTGAGTTATACTCTCAGCCGCCCCCCACCCCCACCCCGTGATTTTAATTCAGCCAAATCAAGGGCAAACATTTAGCAACTAGGGCTCAGGGCTGGTCTTAGGGCCAATGAATTCCTGCAATCCACTCTGCTCAGTTTATTTCAAGCTTCCTCTCCCATAACATGTGAGCAACTCGCTTTGACCTAGGCTCATTTCTCTCATTTGAAGAACTGGGATAAGGAGTCCAGGACACCTTCCTTCCACCTCTCTCCTTTGACACCTTTATCCCTTCCTGACCCCTGCACTGAGCACCATGTGACAACTCCTGAGTTAGGCAGACACTGAACTATTTTTCCTACTCTTATGCTCCAGCGGCCATATCTGGGAAAAGGAGCAAGATAAGCCCTGCTTGCTCACTGGGAAGTACAAATAATTGCCTCCACTTCCTACCTCCTGTCACCTCCTGTCCCCTTCTGGCCCTCATTGCACCCAACATGAGACATCTGTGCCTGCCTGGACACTGACCCACCAGCACGCAATGTGCCACGGCCATACTGAGTTTGGGGACAGGGCTTTCAGTGGCTGAAAATATGTATATGATGGTATTTTAGTTAGTCCCCTTTTCTTGTGATAAAAATTATGTATTTATCATGATGGAGACTTAAGTCCCAGCATGGAGACTAAGAGGCCAGAAGAGCAAATTAGAAAAGGGAGTTGAGAAGCTCAGTTTGTGGCTCTATCAGCTTAACAGCAGACACATTGGAGCACTGAGCACTTCTGCTTTTTTGTCTTGCTTTGTTTTGGGGCTGCAGATGGAGCCCAGGGCCCCATGCAAGCTAGGCCAGCAGTCTACCACTTAGCCACACCCCAACCAGCACTTCTTTTTTTCTTTCCCCCCACATTTTTTGCACTTCCGAATTTTAGGTCTAAGTCATTCTTTTTCAAATCCTCAGACTTAGAACACCCTAGAAAGGCAATGGAAAGATGGCTTCCCTCTGTGTAAATCTGGGGGAAGCTGCCCAGAGAACACCCTTGGCTCTCTTGTAAAATGATCCCACTGTGAGGCAGATTCAGATTTCATGCCTAAAGGGAGTTAACTATTTACTGTTTTATGAGTTATCTATTGTCTTAGGCATGTAACCTTCCAAACTCAGTCTCCCACCAGTTTCTCTTTGCTTCAAAATGTATCTCAATATACTTAGGTTTTTTTTTTTTTTTTATTGCTTATGTCATTAGCCCTCTATGTTTTGTTGTTGACTTTCAGTTGGAAGTCCACAATTGCTTCAGACAGATGCTTTATCAAGTGAAATTCCTCTATTATTCTTCCCATTCAAAATTCCTGGTGGTGCCAGGTGAGGTGGTGCATGTGGATACCTGTAATCCCAGCTTCTTGGGAGTCAAGAGAATCACAAGTTTGAGGATGAGCTGGGAAACTTAGAGAGACCTTCTCAAGACAAAAATATAAAGGGCTGGGGATATAGCTCAGTGGAAGAACACTTGCTTAGCATCCACAAGGCCCTGGTTTCAATCTCTAGTACTACAGAAGGGAAAAAATTCCTGGTGGCAAGATAGGGCTGATTATTGATCATATCGTGAGACTTAGCTGTAAACGAGTATCTCTTACTTCAGATAACTACATTCTTTCTTTCTTTTTTTTTTTTTTTTTTTTTTTAAATCAGGGATTGAACCCAGGGGTGCTTAACCACTGACCCACATCCCCACATCCCACATCCCTACATCCCACATCCCCAATCCTTTTATTTTGAGGCAGGGTCTTGTGAAGTTGCTTAGGGTCTAGCTAAGTTGCTGAGGCAGGCTTTGCATTTGTGATCCTCTTGCTTCCCAAGTCACTGTATTACAGGCATGTGCCACCATACCTGGCTACATTTTGTGTGTGTGTGTGTGGTGAGGAGGTGGGGAATACTAACATAACACCCCACTACCACAAATTATGTAGTCAGGTTTCCCAGTTTTGGGGAAATTACAGGAGTCAGCACATCCAGAGTACAATGGTCTTACTCTGGAAATACCACCTTCATGATCATGGGATCTCCTCTGCCAGGGAAGTATCACCACGTCCTCTAATTACCTAGAAATCCACTGAAGAGCCAGTATCAAGTACTGTGTGAGGCATAGGACATTACTTAATCTCTCTGAGTCTTAGTTTCCCCATCTGAAATAAGTGGATAATAATGCCTAGGTATTGAGAGAATTACATATATATGTATGTAAAGCAGTTAGCATACAGTAAGTACTAGATAAATGGTAGCTATAATTTACGCACTTTTTTTTAATTTTTTTTTTTTTTAGTTATAGTTGGACACAATACCTTTATTTATTTATTTTTATGTGGTGCTGAGGATCGAACCCAGTGCCTCACATGTGCTAGGCAAGCACGCTACCACTGAGCCACAACCCCAGCCCCGAATTTACGCACTTTTTAAATGATAACCTTCAAGTAAAAATATCCAGCTGCTTGGAAGTGAGAGAGGAGCATAAACATAGCCATGACTAAGCATGTGCTTAATACACAGATGTTTCTCAGGGCTGTGCTCCATTGTGATCTTGGTGTTAGCCAAACAGGATGAAGTGATCCCCTCTGACTGCATTACTCTCCACATTCAATCTTTAAAAAATAAGTAAAAATAATGTTGACCTAATTCTTTTCCAGTCCATCCAAGTGAAAAATCTAGAACTCAACTTCACTGAGGTCCCCACTTTGTTTTCTGCCATCAATTCACAAGGACCCACTGACCAATTTTTGCACTAGGGTGTGAGACCCAGACTTCTGTCTGGAATGATGAGACAGTGACCCCATGTGGCTAAATAAAGAACTGCAGACTAGAATAGTCCCGCGCGTGGAAAGTCCCCCACGTTTGGACCCAGGCTGGATGGGTCCAGAGAATGTTCTTGTTCATAGTCTTTGTCACATAAGCAGTTAGTTCGATTCCTCAGGCATAGTGGTGTACGCCTAAATTTCCAGTGACTGGGGAGGCTCAAGCAGGAGGATTATGCGATCAAAGCCAGCCTCAGCAATTAATGAGACCCTAAGCAACTCAGTGAGACCCTATCTCAAAAATAAAAAAAATGGCTCCATGGCTCAATGGTTAAGTACCCCTGGGTTCAATCTCCCCTACAACACACACAACAACAACAACAAAACCCTATTTTTCAAGTTAGAAAATAAAATGAGGAAAGAAATAACAGCAAACAAATATGAGTGAAATTATCTCCTACTTTACAAATGTATCTTTCTTGTCCACCAGCTAAGATTCAAGGGCTAGATGGACTGTACTCTCAAATAAAAAAGAACAAAAGAAAGCTAGCTAGAGGGCTTGCTCTGGATATCTTGAGGAGATACCTCAAGAGCCGTGGAATATTCACAGAAAAATCTTTTCAATGCTTACCCATCTCAGATATTTTTTTCTCTGCTCCCCACTCCCGGCCTCCACACTGGGGATTGAACCCAGGGGAACTTAACCACTAAGCCACATCCCCAGCCCTTTTTATTTTTTTGTTTTGATTCAGGGTCTTGCTAAATTGCTTAGGGACTCGCTAAATTGCTAAGGCTGACTTTGAACTTGTGATCCTCCTGCCTGAGCCCCCTGAGTCACTGGGATTACAGGTATGAGCAACCATGCCTAGCAGATATTTCTTTTTGGTGGACTCAGATCTTGAAATACTAAGAAAAGTACGAGAAATCAGTTGATACTGTAGAGTTGTGCTGTCAAAGGGAAAAATGTTTTAAATCATTAATGAGAATGGTCCTTTGAATAGGGCACAGTATTCATCTATCTATAGAATTAATCCCATTCACAAAGTTTTCTAGGGAACAGGGCCTTCACACTAGTGGACTTGGATTTTCAAATCTTATTTTTTTGGTACCAAGGTTATTGAACCCAGGGGTGTTTAACCACTGGGCACATCCTTAGCCCTTTCTATTTTTCATTTTGAGACAGGATCTCGCTGGTTAAGTTTGCTGAGGCTGGCTTTGTTTTTTTTTTTTTGTTTTGTTTTTTTTTTTTAAAGAGAGAGTGAGAAAGGATTTTTAATATTTATTTTTTAGTTCTCGGCGGACACAACATCTTTGTTGGTATGTGGTGCTGAGCAGCCCCATGGCTTTGAACTTTCAATCCTCCTTCCTGAGTCTCCCGAGCCTCTGAAATTACAGGCCTGCCCCACCATGCCTAGCTTTCCAATTCTTTTAAAAAAGTCCCAGGACTTCTCCTATAATTAGGCACTTTCACAACAAAGGACCCCTCAGTAAACATTATGAGAAATTCCATAGTAAATACTTAGGAGTCTCTAGGACTTGAAGCCAGAGTGTTTAACCACTGAGCCACATTCCCAGCCTATTTTGTATTTTATTTTGAGATAAAATACTTAGTGGTTAAGTTCCCCTGGGTTCAATCCCCAGTGTGGAGGCCGGGAGTGGGGAGCAGAGAAAAAAATATCTGAGATGGGTAAGCATTGAAAAGATTTTTCTGTGAATATTCCACAGCTCTTGAGGAGAAACAGACCAAGCATTTGAAAACTCGCTTATGCCCTCTAGCTAGCCTTCTTTTGTTCTTTTTTATTTGAGAGTACAGTCCATCTAGCCCTTGAATCTAAAGTGCTTAGGGCCCTGCTGAATTGCTGAGGCTGGCCTTGAACTTTCGATCCTCCTGTCTCAGCCTCCTTAGTTCCTGGGATAACTGGCTTACATTACCCCCTCCTGGCCACTCCTGACAAAGTCTTAAATTCCTCTGCTCCTTTGATTTGAACTGCTAAAAAAAGTTATGGGATGGTGGAAAGAGCTCTGGGCCAGCAACCTCTCCCTGGAAATTTGGAATACGAATCAGGAGAGATTCAGAGTCACATGCTATAACTGGAAATGTAGTCTGTTAACTCAGAGGCTGTCAGTTACCATGTTTCCCACCATGGGGGACAGAGGAAGCTGATCCACAGAGAAAGTAAGATGGAGATGGAGATGAAGAAAGACTTGACCTCAGAGAAGAGAGAAGAGGAAGGGAGGGAAATTTAGAGGTGTCCAGTTCAGCTCCTGAAGACTCCAGAGTCTATGAGGCTCTCAGGAACCCTTAGACCACCTCCTTCTGATCTGGCTCAAATTGATTTATTACAAACTCCACAGTTGCCTGGATAGTTATTCTCATTGTACTTCAATTTCCTCATCTATTCAGTGAGAATCATCTTTTATTCATTCAGCAAGTATTTTTTGGGTGCTTTCTATGTACTAGACACTATTTTAGGTTCTAGGAGAAGATGCAGGGAACATAAGGAATTTAAAAAATTCCTTTATGAAACTCAACTTCTAAAAAGGTCCTGGAAATAAAGTAAATATACAGAAGACATAACTTTCCAATCAGGTACCAACCAAAGAGCTGTTGGACACAACTAACAACCTAAGTGCCAAAACTTAGAGAACATATACTACAAAGCCAAGGCTACTTAGAACAATATATATTCCTTTTGACTTTAAACTAATATTAAAAGAGACTGGGATGTGACTCCATGGTAGATTGCTTGCCTGGCCATGTGAAACCCTGGATTTGATCCCCAGTGCTAGAGAAAAAAAAATCTGGTGAAAAGGGTCCATCCTTTCTTTCTTTTTTGATACTGGCTATTTAACCCTATGGTGCTCTACCACTGAGCTACATCCCCAGGCAATTTTTTTTTTTTTTTTTTTGTACCAGGGATTGAACTCAGGGAACTTGACCAATGAGCCACATACCCAACCCTATTGTGAATTTTATTTGGAGACAGGGTCTCATTGAGTTGCTTAGCGCTTCACTTTCTCTGAGACTGGTTTTGAACTCTTGATTCTTCTGTCTCAGCTCCTGAGCTGCTGGGATTACAGGTATGCGCCACTGCCCTGGGCTCCCAGCCATTTTTATGTTTTATTTTGAGACAGGGTCTTACTAAGTTGCTGAAGCTGGCCTCATAATTGTGATCCTCCTGCGTCAGCCTCCCAAGTATCTAGAACTACAGGCGCTTCCTTTCTTAGTATCTTTTCTTTGATATCTTTTCTTGTTGCTTCTGCTGAAAGTCCCTGCAGACACTCTGCTGACAGCCACCTTTCCTTCCATAACTAAGCAAATCCTTTTTCCCTCAGGGAAATGAGTTCTTTAGTTTCCTGCTTGCTTTGACTGTGAGCAGATATCAATCTATTTTCAATTATCTGGGAAGTAGTACATAATATACATAGGTGACACATGAAATTTGGAGATTTTTTTTAACCACCCCTCCTCCTATGGGGTTATTTATCAAAACTAATTGGGAAGCCTCAGTGAGCTGATTTGGCTCTATCTTCCCATGCTGCCTCTGGTGAAGTCGCTAATGAACTCAGTGAAGAGCAAAAGGCAAACAGCAGGAGGCAGACAGAAAAGGACATGACAAGTCTACCTGATAAACGCCCAACCCTGGAACAATCTAGAAAGTGCACTGGTAGGACTACCCATATTCCCTAGGTCAAATCAGGAATCAGAGTATCCTTTACTTTTCCTTTTAGGATATCCACGGTGCAGAAATTCTTGTGTAATAAAGAACTAACAACACTTTGCAACAATGGCTCACATGTCCTCCTCAGCCCCACAACGTTCCTTCTATAGAAATGAAGCTTTTTGGGGCTGGGGTTGTAGCTCAGCGGCAGAGCGCTCACCTAGCACGTACAAGGCCCTGGGTTCGATCCTCAGCACCCCATAAAAATAAATAAATAAAATAAAGGCATTGTGTCCAGCTACACCTAAAAAATAAATATTAAAAAAAAAAAGAAATGAAGCTTTTCATCAACAGGTAATCAGAGGACAGGGGTTTCCAATCAAAACAATCCATACTCATCAGCTTCTCAGCCAGAAGTGATGAGTTCTTTTTAATTTTTTACATAGACCAGGCCTCCTGTGCCTCTCCACCTCCACCAAAATTAATTTTAAAAAAATCATTTCTATGCATATGGGTATGCATGAGTATACAAGCACATCTTTGCATGCACAAACACATACATGCACACACATATACTCTTAAGATTCTGCAAAACTCACATGCTAGTATCAGCAGTGTCTGGCAATGTATTG